GGACCACCAGTTAGCGTAATGGCTTTGTCGCTGGACTCCCACGTAGTCAACCATGGTTCATGTCCTGGACCCGGTGGCTTAAAACTCATGCTGGGCACGTGTGCATGCGTGCCCAAGATCCCAAGAGTAGAATGGAGGAGAAGGGATTGCGGCGTGGCCATCCCCCCAGGGGCTGATTTCTCGCTTTCTGTCTCTCTGCCTCTCTCTGTCTGGCGAGACATGATGAAGCTGAAATCATCACATGTCCTAATTCTTAGTATTGTGTTGTTGACAGTCCTGAGACTGAGTGTATTAAGTAGAATAGAGATTTTAACTCACAGCTCTGGTTGCTGGCAAGTCCAAAGGCAGAAAGCAGTTTTAGCAGCAGACTGTGTTCTATATCCATGTGGCTTCATCTCTGCTGTTCTCTTCCTATTTTGTCTCCTTATATACCAACTAGAACCTAAAGGCCCTACCCAGGGACACCATGAAGTAATTATGTTATCTCTTAACACCTTTACAGTATAATCAAGTCCCAACACATTTATTTTTTTAAACATTTATCAGTATATTTTTTAATTTGCTACAGACCATGTTTGCTCTCTAGAGAGAGAAAGTGAGAAAGCAATCCACCAGGTCTTGGACTTGAACTGCAGCCAGCTATGTGGGAATCCAGCATCATAACCACCATGCCACCTGCTGGCCCAACGCATGAATTTCTAGGGGGCATCTAACAAACATGAAACTTCTGGGGACAAACTATAATTCGACCATAATACTAAATACCAGATCAACACAGTTCGATACAGATATCAAAATAGAAACATCAGCCAATGGAGTGGAATATAGAGCTTAGGAATAAACCTAGTATATGTCAACTATCAATAGATGCTTCAATAAATTATGCTTGGACAACTGGATATTCACATGCAAAAAGATATATAAGAGGTAACTCTAAAGACTTAAACTGTCAAGCTTCAAAATAGGGGAAATGCTTCTTGGCCTTGGAAATGATTAAAAAAAATTTTTTGACACTGTAAGCATAGACAATGATAGTGATAATAAACAACTGGTACTATATCATAGCAAAGGAAGTAATCAACAAAATGTCAAGGTAACCTACAAACTGGAGAAAATACTTGCAAACGTATTTGATAAGGGGGTTAACATCTAAACTAAAAGCAACTCACAACTCAGTAACAAGAAAATAACCAAATTTAAAGTAGACATGGGTTTTTTTTAAAGAATTAATTTTATTTAATATTATTTTTAAATCTGACCAGAGAGAAAAAGAGGGAAAATGAGAAAGCAAGCTAGCAAGCTGCCAGATCCTAGACTCAAACCATGGCTAACCATGTGACAGTCCAGTGCCTTAACCACCACACCACCTGCCAACCCTGATATTTTATTTTTCTTAAGACAAAAATACCCAACAAATATAAGATGCTTTAGCACCATTAATTATATACAAAATCCAAATGAAAACCACAATGAGATAATACCTCACACATGTTAGAATGGGTATTCTCAAAAAGAGAGATGATAAATGTTGGTGAGGGTATAAGAAAAGGGAGCACTAGTATGCTGTACAGCCAACATGGAAAACCATAGAGAGACTGAACAAGATACTAGCCAATCGTATCCAACAACTTATAAAAAAGAGACAACTACTATATGACCCCATAATCCCACCTCTTGCATATATAACTAAAGGAAAGGAAATCATCATCCCCAAGATACATCTGTGCTCCACATTCATTGCAGCATTATTCACATAAGACAAGATATGGAGACAACCTAAGTGTCCATTGACAGAGGAACAAAAATTTGGGAGAGCTACACTATGAAATACTATTGAGCTTTAGAAAAGAAAGTAAATTGTGACATTTCTGATAACATGGATGAACCTGCAGGAAATTACAGTCAGTGAAAAAAGTCAGACATAGACACATTAGCTACTTATCCTAAAAGTGAGACCAAAGCATAACAAGGGCTGGGGGAAGTAGGAAATGTTGATTAAGAGGTACACACTGTTATAAAGGGAAGTTCTCAGGATCTACTGTATAGCATTTGATGGTGATGGAGCTATTAATTTGTGGTAATCATTATATAATGGTATATCAAATCATCAAACCACACAAGGGGGGGGGGTCTTTCTCAAGTTTGTAGAAAATGCATGTTTTTTTGGGAAAAAAAAAACCTTTAACTGTGAAAATCTTACTTTAGCTTCTAGATCCAGTAAAGGATCAGGGCTATTTGGCTAGGTCTTCTATCACCAGCCAGGCCCTCTGTGGGTCCCAGGGCCAGAGAGGTGCAGGTTCATCAGGCCCATGCATCACTGACCCTATCTACTACCTTAAGCTCAGCTATCTCAAATCAGTACTCAGGCACCCTGGAATGAAAGAAATTTTGAAACAAGAGGGAAATTGGTGTGGAGTTAAAGTATACCACAGGGAAATGCACAAACATACAGCCCCAGAAACCTTCCCTAAACTAGTAGGGAAAAGCAAATACCTCACCAGATGCCTAGAAAAGGCAGAATCTCCAGAAATGGGAGAAAGCAAGGAAGTGTATCTTCTTCAAAAGAACACAGCAACTCATAAGATATAAGAAAAAATGTACAACAAATTCCAGGACATTATGGAATGCCTCTTTCATGCCATGGAATGATTTTCTAAAGAGATACCCTAAAAAAGAATCAAACAGAACTTATAAAGAATATACAATGCAAGAAATCAAAATCTCCCTTGAAAGCATCAATAGCAAGTTGGACCACACAGAAGAAAACAATCTCTGTTTTGGAAGACAAAGCTTCTGACTTAATCGAAATCATAAAAAAGAACAATAACAACAACAACAAAAATACTCTAAGGTAAGGACACTATATGGGAAATACTAGTCACCATTAAACACCCAAATATCCATATAATGGGAATTCCTGATGGCAACTAAGCTGAGAAAGGCATAGAAAACCTCTTTCATGAAATGCTAAGTGAAAACTTTAAACACAAAGGACACCAAATAGAATTGACATAAGAAGATCCTCTTCATGGCACATCATAGTCAGATGGGTAAAAATCAAAGACAAGAGTTTAAAAATGGCAAGAGAAAAGTGATAAGTTATGTACAAAGGCTATCATATTAGGCTACTATCAGATCACTTGACTGAAAAAGTAGGCAAAGAAAACAATTTCAACTGAAAATACTAATAATTTACCTAGTAAGATTATCCTTCAAATGGGAAGAAGAAGAAAAAAATACATTCTCAGATACACAAGAAGCTGAAAGAATTTATAGTAGGTAGGCCAGTTCTTCAAGAAGGACTGAAGGGCATACTATACCAAGAAAACTAAAGAAAGACAAATGGAAATAAGAGAACACAAAACAACCAAGAAAATGGCTAACAAAATGACAGGGATAAATCTACAAATATTGAAAATAATGAATGTTAACAAATTACATTCTCCACAAAAGACACAGACTGGCTAAATTGATAAACCCCAAGAACCCTGTATTTGCTGCTTACAAGAAACATACTTCTTTGATAAAGACATACATAGACTGAAAGTGAAGTGCTAGAAAAAGACATTCCATGCAAATAGAAACAAACAAACCAAAAAAAAAGGGCTGACATCATGATACTAGTTTCAGACAAAATAGACTTCAAGACAAAAACTATAAGAAGAGACAATGACGGGTACTATCTAATGTTACACTAAAAGGGCAAATCCATCGAGGTTATCTAACACTTATAAATATCTGTGTATCCAGCACTGAAGTACCCAAATATGTGAAAGAAAGAATACTAGATCTAAAGGGAGAGAGAGATTGCAACACACTCACCATTGGGGGTCTCAGCTATCCACTGTCTTCTCCTGACAGATCCAGACCAAAAATAAATACAAGATCTAAGTCATACCATAAGTCATGGTCTTGACAGATACCTG